CCTCCTCCCCCCGACTGCCGCGCCCCCCCTCCCCCGGCGCTGGGAATCCCTCCGCGCCGGCCCGGCCGGATCTCGCTGAGGGGGCGGGGATGCCGGCGGAGCTCCGGCGGCGCAGCCGAAGGAAGAAGGAAGGATTCCTCCCGCTCCCAGACCTCGGCCGCGCCTCCGCGCCGCGGGGCTCTCCCGGCGAGTGGGGCCGGAGGAGAGAGGGGACTATTTCCCGCCGGCGGCGCAGGGATCCCGGCGGGACGGATTTTGGCGGTCGCCGGTGGTGCCGGGGCCGGGAAGGGGCCGCGCGGGGACAGGAGCGAGCGGGGGGCCCGGGGCGGCGGCGGAGGAGGAGGAGAAGGAGGAGGAGGAGGAGGAGGAGGGGGGGGGGGGCGGGGGCGGGGGCGGGGGCCGGCCCCCGCGGGGACAGTCACTTCGGGGGCGGTCACTTCGGGGGCGGAGCAGGGCCGGGGGGCCGGGCCCCGTCGGTGAAGACCGGTGCTGTCACATCGATGAAATCGCACAATGTGTGAACCCGTGCTGGTTTTTCTTTCTAATTTTTTCTAATAATTCTTTCTAATATTTGTTTATTTACCTTCTAATATTTATTTATTCACCTGTTTAATGCAGTTCGTGTGTGTTACCAAGCGCTCCCGTGTCACCGCCCAGTTTATATCATAATATTCGCGTTTTATCAGGTGAATAAAAGGCTGAGAGGAGCTCCAGGCCGAGACTGAGTTACAATGTGGCAATAGTCTTGCTGCTAAATTTGGAGATGCATTAGTGTGGTTTGTTTCTATGAGAATGCATTTAATGTTGTTGTGACTGTACTTTAATTATGTGTTAAAGGTATTTTTAATGATGCAGTGATAACTTGTCAGTCTGATTTCCTGATGTAGGGAAAAAAGTATAAACGTAAAGCTACCATTGCTATATCTTGTAGCCAAGTCTCATGTGCCAACTAAGAGTGGCTGACACAATCCATTACCCTTTGTCACATCTCAGCAATTCTTCCCAAACTTTGCCCTGTCGGCTGTCTGCCCCAAGTTGGTTGGCTGATTGAAGAATGCTAGCTGGAATGGTACAGCTGCTTTCTTACAGTGACATTAAAGGGAGATGACTACTCGTGTCCCTACTTGTGACTACAAAGTGTTCATAGTGTTTTATGGTAGGTTTGTAACATGATGTAGTTAGCTATGTTTGCAGGGTGCTATTACTTGATCCTTATCTTGAAATCAGCCTGTTATGATCAAATTATATACTTTTGAAAAACCTTTGATTTACTTGTATTTCCTAGAATATGTCGGGATAATATTGTCCAGACTCTTCCTGCCTTGGGAATGTTGTGGTCTTTGAAGAACTGTTTTTGTGGCAACTTTTGGCAGATGACGATGAAAAATGGGAGAAAAAAAGCTGTGACTTTTTTATGCTTGCTAGTATCTCTCTCCAAGAACTGGAAAGAAAGATCAGTAAGTAGAAGGTCAAAGGAAAGGTGGTTGACTGCCTGCAAGTACCTCAACAATTGAGGATTTGTAATCTCTCAGTTTAATGTATACCAAAGAATTCACATAAGAAAACATGCACAAATGCCAGAGCCACAGAAAAATCTTGAACCGACATTTGTACTTTTTGGACACAAAATCAATAAGAAAACTTGCAGGAAGTTGGTATTTGTTGTTTTAGTTCTCCTAAAGCTGGCTATTTGAGGCTTTTTAGCTTTGTTTTGTGCAGGTGTGAAGTTTGGGCATATGTGCAGGATTATGACTGCACATGTCTGACAGTTCTTAACTACTGATACAGCCACTGAAAATTTTAGTAAGCTGTTACAGCTTTCAGGAATGCTAAGTTGTTACAAGTGTCATGAAAGTAACCACCTGAAAGGAAGAAAGATTCCTTGTCAACGCAGTTGGGAGGAGAATTGTCTAAAACACTTGACTTTTTGTTTCTGTATTTGCATGACTGCTGATAAAACTGCATTTCAGAGGTTGCATTAAGAGAGTGTGGGTTCACTTAGACAAGCACTGAGATATTAGCAGATGCATGTAGTGATTCTTTTTCCCCATGCTGTCTGAATGTTGGCTTGTTTTGGACTACTCCTCCTCTTGTATTCTTGTGTTATCCTTCTCTTCTGTTTTTAATTTTATTTTTTTTATTCCCCCCCCCCATAACTCCTATGTCATATTCAGTATGTGGGTGCTTCTGGATTAGATGTGACATGATAAGGCAGGCAGTTGTTTAAGATTGGTCCTGCATTTGTTCTAGAAACTATGTATAAGGAATTAGCTTAGACTAATATTGGCATACAGAATCATAAAATCGTAGCATGCTTTTGGTTGATTGAGACCTTAAAGATCATCTAGTTCCAACTGCCCTGCCAAGGGCAGGTATGCCACTTACTAGATCAGGTTACTCAGAGCCCCATCCAACCTGGCTTTGAACGCTTCCAGAGATGGGGCACTCACAATCTCTCCTTATTGTATGCTGTATCCTTCCTTCTGTTGTATCCTTCCTTTTGTGTATCCTTATTCATAATTTGTGTTTCTAAACATAAGCTGTGGAGAGCAGCAATGTAACCACTGCATTCAGAATGTGCAACTTGGGCCAGTCTGAAGATTCATTTTATGAGCCTACCAGTTTTCTGTTCTTGGAGATTATGCCTTTCTTCTTAAAAAACCTATTTTCCAAGTCATAGTTTCAGGGGGAAAGGTCATGTTTGGGCAGGAGGGAAGGGATTCCTGGAGTGCAAAGTGGATTGCATCAGAAAGGAAGGGAATTAAGGAGTGGAGAATTTGTAAACGAGGAAAGCAAAGCAGTTGCTTCTTCCCTTCTACTGAAATTGCTAAAAGGCTTTAGTAGAAACAGAATCTCGAAAAGGAAACAGCTTTCACTATCCATGAATTAACTCAGCTTAAAACCCACATGACTTCTGAGGTTGCTCCACACAGGTTTGATGCCTCTTGCAACCATCTTTGTTAGTGCAAGTTCTTGGAATTCATTGCTTAAAATCAGGCTGTTGGACTGTGGACTTCTGTAATTCATTATTATTACCTTACAGTGAGGGATAATGACAGTATTAACTGTTGAGTGGTGAGCCATGGGAAAGTAAAGACAGTTTATTCAGAAGAAAATAACTTCTTAAAACTGTGTGGGTTTACATGCTTATATTACTATAAAATCGTTTAGGTTGGAAAAGACTTCTAAAATTATGTGGTCCAACCATTAACCCAGCACTGCCACCATCACCAAAACATGTCTTTAAGTGCCACATCTACACATCTTTTAAATACCTCCAGGGATGGTGATTCAACCTTTTCCCTGGCTGGCCTGATCCAGTGCTTTACAACTCTTTCTGTGGAGAAAGTTTTCCAAACATCCAATCTAAACCTCCCCTGGTGCAACTTAGGCTGTGTCCTCTCATCCTATAGCTTGTTACTTGAGAGGTGAGACCACCCCCCACCTTGCTACAACCTCCTTTCAGGTAGTTGTAGAGACCAAAGAGTTCTCCGCTCAGCCTCCTTTCCAGGCTAAACAACCACAGCCCCCTCAGCTCCTCCCCTCAGCTCCTCCTTATAAGACTTGTGCTCCAGACCCTTCACCAGCTTTGCTGCTCTTTGGATGCTCTCTGGCACCTCAGTGTCTTTCTTGTATGTTATGCCCATCTCACCTATGAAATTTCTAGCTCATGAAAAGTATTGCAGATCACATGTTTGGCCTCTTTATCTTATGGTGACAGTTTCATGCTTTCAGGTTTTTTTGGAAAGAACATTTTGACAGTTGCTTGTATTGGCAATGTTACTTTACACCATTTAAAATCAGTGTCTTTTTAGATATTTTTAGAAACAGGTCAGACAGATTTGTGATGCTTTTTTAGAAAAATTATGAATATATAATGTGTGTTGTGTGAAACACAGAGAAAATGGGATGACCTCTTTGGCAATATTCAGCTTGGAAACTTGTGCTTTAATGTGAGGTTTATAATTTCCTTTGGTATGAATGTTCCATAAAGAAAAGTAAGCTCTTTGTCTTCATAAACACATTAAGAAAAGCTTGACTGGAATCAAGGTAATTTCAGATAAATTACCCCTCTTGGAGTCTGTTCGCTCCTCTGCTGGAAAAATATATAGGTGTCATCTGTCAAGTACTGTGTTTCTTTTATATTAAACACAACTAGGCCTGCTGGGTGGTAAGTGGGAGGCTTAGAGTGGACAGGTTGAGATTTATTATTTCTTTCAGACTGATGGTTGTTGCTGTGTTTAATTCAGCATTCTTGAATTTTCCAAAGACTTCACATTTTACTGGAACGAGTAGAAGATGGTGGAAGTTGTGGGTTTTCTATAGTTCTAGAAAATCAGGCCTTCAGTCTCAAGCTAGCACTTATTAGTATTTCTGAATTCTAGTTTTAATTTTTTATTAAGTCAGAAATTAGTAAAAATTTGTTCTATAGCTGACCAGTAAAATGCAACAAATAAAGCATTTGCTAACTACCTTGCTGGCGTTAATATCCCCCACTTGAGAACTGAGATTTTTTTCTTTGTTTTCTTTATTTTTATAGGGCTGCCTTCCAGTTACAGGTTTCAAGAGTTATCTGCTTTCCAGATCTGAATGGAATTCTTCTGCATCAGGACAGTCAGTAACTTATTCTTGGGAGATGCAGAAAGTCATGCTGTAGATTCTTTTAGAAGTCTAAGGCCTTCTGCAGTTGTAGATCCTTTTTCCTATTTAAATACCTGCCACCAGCTGATGAAATCATACACTTCTGAAACCTTTGCCAAAATTTGATTTGTACAGTGTTGGTGGTAGATATGTTGAATGGAGTTGGGAATGTTAGGATTTGGCACTGTGTTAAAAATAGTATTTTGAAATAAATTATTTGCTGCACTGTAGGAAGGCTTATTCAGAAACGAGCATAATGGGTTGGTGCTAACATCCATCTTGTCCAGTACTTTGATCCTGACAGTTATGAACAGCAAAGGCTACAGAGGAACTAATTTTGGGGCTGGTGCCATAATCTCCATTCTATGTTGGCAAGAAGCCTATTCTTGGTCTTCTAAAGATTTGCTGAAGCTCTGAAGCATAAAGGTTGCTATCTTTTGAAGAAAAATAAAACAATTTTGATTCCTCTGGTTGCGTTATGAAAACATCTGTTCCACATATTTGTAGACTCTTGTCTCAGTGACTTTCTATAGCAGTGAGTTCTACTGACACTATATGGTGCTTTTTTTTTTCCTTTAAAAGGAAGTTATTTTTATTTTTCTTGACAGGAGGGACAGTTGTTCCTCATCAGCCCTTTCAGTATCATTATTTAATTTCTCTGCAGTTAATCTAAATATCTAGTAAGCTGTACTGTTTACAAAAATTAAAGAGGGTTCTGTGTCCAGTTGATTATCATGACAGACTGTGGGAAAAGCCTGAGTTTAACTGGCTTAATCTTGTCTTATGTAGGCAACTTGGGACAATAGATCATTGCAGAAAGTTGTTTTACAGACATCATTTAAGCCGCTTATATTTTTGCATACCCTCTTCAAAGTAAATTTTGGTAATAGCTGGCAGTATGCCTTTGAATCAAAACATTGACATTCACTATTGTCAGTGAATGTTCTCAGACTGTGTATGAATAGCCTGTGTACATGGCTGAAATGGTAGCATCTTTTTACAAATAATTTCTGTTTAGAGCCAGTTGTTTCCTACAGAAAGAAAAAAAGGCATTATAATTGTTTTGGTAAGCTAGTGTGCTTTTGCTTTGTCCTATCTTACTTTTGCATACAGTTATCTAAACTACTTTTCATAGGACTGTTCAGCAGAAAGCAGGTATCACCTGATTGATACTTACAGCTGTTGGACTTCTGTAAGAAATGTTATTTTGTTTCTCCTGCATGATATTTACATTTTTGTGGGTTCGTTTGTTGTGGGGTTTTGTTCATTTTTTAATGCAAAGCAAAGCAAGTACTTTGATTCCATGCACTTGGTGAAATGTGTGCTAAACTTGTGCTTTATTCTTTCTTGTCAGGTTGTCCCTTGCTGTTGTACTTGAAGAGGTGACCATTTGCTGTGAGTTAATAATGTTTATTCTCTCTCCTATGTGTTTCTCCTCTGTCTCCTTCTGTGCAATAACATTACAAAAGGAAAACATACTGTGCAAGATTTTCTCCTTGGAGTTAATAAACGCTCACTTCATTGAGAAAGATGTTCTTTAAAACATATGAGAATAAAATAAAAAAAAGATGCTCTGGTATGTTACTATGTTATATGCCTAATCCTGAAAAAGAGGTAACCTTGCCCCAAACAGCTTACAGTTTGTTGAGGATCCAGCCAGTGTGTGTAATCAACACTAGGAAAACCAAGGGAGAATAAAGGAAACATCAGTTATATGTTAACATGAACAAACTTTGTAAAATTACTGTAACCCCGTACTGCCCATCCATTTAAGACACAATGTCATTACAGGAGTAATCTTGAGGGATGTGAAAGAACCAAATAAAGTAGTGTTAAGAACTTCACTTGAGGAAGAAGATTTATTTCTGCATGTGGAAAAAAAAGTGTAAAGAGTGTTGTAGTAACTTGTAGTGGTAGCTTGTTTTTTGTATGTCTTGGGCCTTGGGCTGTCAGAACATTTTATGCTGTAGCATACTGGAACCTCCTGCTAAATTTTGTTCTCCATAGCTTCTCTTATCTGGCTTCGTGTGATTTAAGGATGGGGAGAAGGGGTATAAAGTGGAAAATAACTCTGACTATGTATGACCAAAAAAGTCCCCGAGGCATTACAGGAGTTTATATTTCTGTTTTCCACACCGTTGTTTCTATAGAAAAGTATTTACTGTTTCTTAGAAATCCCTGTGTTGTGGAGTTAAGCTGGATTTTGGAGGTCAGTGTG